GCTCCAACTTGGGTACAATAACACGCTCCAACTTGGGTACAATAACACGCTCTAACTTGGGTACAACAACACGCTCTATCTTGGGTACAATAACACGCTCTAACTTGGGTACAACAACACGCTCTAACTTGGGTACAACAACACGCTCTAACTTGGGTACAACAACACGCTCTAACTTGGGTACAACAACACGCTCTATCTTGGGTACAATAACACGCTCTAACTTGGGTACAACAACACGCTCTAACTTGGGTACAACAACACTCTCTAACTTGGGTCAACAACACGCTCTAACTTGGGTACAACAACACGCTCTAACTTGGGTACAACAACACGCTCTAACTTGGGTACAACCACACGCTCTAACTTGGGTACAACAACACGCTCTAACTTGGGTACAACAACACGCTCTATCTTGGGTACAATAACACGCTCCAACTTAGGTACTATGACGTCCAAAACGGCTAACAGATCTTTAGCTGTGTGTTTATACAATATAACCTTGTTACCATCGCATCTACACACCTTTTAATGTTAGTATCATAGAGGGATACAGGGCCAATCATACATTATTGGCACATACACAAGACAACAATGTTATTTCTATGCTTTTTAAAACACATAGTTATCCCCTTCCCACCCCTGCACTCTATTAGAAGAATATTACACTGTGTTATGTCCCTTTCACTGTGCATTTCAAATATTTTATGTAAAAATTCACAACAAATTTCACATATTTGCTGTGCAGTCTAGATTTAGATAGGTAACTTGGAGACTTACACATGTGAAAGCAGCTTGTCTAGGAAATGCTTCAAGTGACTGGTAACGGACAATCTGTATTTATCAAATAGGGCACAATGTCATGTTGACATATGTTAGAGCATCTTGGACACATGTCGTTTGTTCTTATTGTAATACCGTGTCACGGTTTTCCAAGTTTGTTTTTAACGAATTTATTCATCACACGAATGAGTGTTGCCTCATGTCAATGCCCTATGTGCGCGCATGTGTGTGTGCGTGTGTGTGTGTGTGTGTGTGTGTGTGTGTGTGTGTGTGGGTGTATGTGTGTTCGTGCGCGTGTTTTCCTCCTCGTGAAACTATGTTTTCTATTCTACTGAGGTCAGTAACTTTCACATTTTCCAGATGAAGACCAAGAAGGAAAAAGAGTTGCTGCAGCAGCAGAAACATTTTCACGTTAGTAATCCCTGTCTAGACTTGTGTCATAGTTGTGATGTACTCATGTCCACGTTAGTAATCCCTGTCTAGACTTGTGTCATAGTTGTGATGTACTCATGTCCACGTCAGTAATCCCTGTCTAGACTTGTGTCATAGTTGTGATGTACTCATGTCCACGTCATTAATCCCTGTCTAGACTTGTGCCATGGTTGTGATGTACTCATGTCCACGTCAGTAATCCCTGTCTAGACTTGTGTCATAGTTGTGATGTACTCATGTCAACGTTAGTAATCCCTGTCTAGACTTGTGTCATAGTTGTGATGTGCTCTTGTCCACGTTAGCAATCCCTGTCTAGACTTGTGTCATAGTTGTGATGTGCTCTTGTCCACGTTAGTAATCCCTGTCTAGTCTTGTGTCATAGTTGTGATGTACTCATGTCCACGTTAGTAATCCCTGTCTAGACTTGTGTCATAGTTGTGATGTACTCATGTCAACGTTAGTAATCCCTGTCTAGACTTGTGTCATAGTTGTGATGTACTCATGTCCACGTTAGTAATCCCTGTCTAGACTTGTGTCATAGTTGTGATGTACTCATGTCAACGTTAGTAATCCCTGTCTAGACTTGTGTCATAGTTGTGATGTACTCATGTCCACGTTAGTAATCCCTGTCTAGACTTGTGTCATAGTTGTGATGTACTCATGTTCGTGTAATAATCCCTGTCTAGACTTGTGTCATAGTTGTGATGTACTCATGTCCGTGTAATAATCCCTGTCTAGATTTGTGTCATAGTTGTGATGTACTCATGTCCACGTTAGTAATCCCTGTCTAGACTTGTGTCATAGTTGTGATGTACTCATGTCCGTGTAATAATCCCTGTCTAGACTTGTGTCATAGTTGTGATGTACTCATTTCCACGTCAGTAATCCCTGTCTAGACTTGACGTCAGTAATCCCTGTCTAGACTTGTGTCATGGTTGTGATGTACTCATGTCCACGTTAGTAATCCCTGTCTAGACTTGACGTCAGTAATCCCTGTCTAGACTTGTGTCATGGTTGTGATGTACTCATGTCCACGTTAGTAATCCCTGTCTAGACTTGACGTCAGTAATCCCTGTCTAGACTTGTGTCATGGTTGTGATGTACTCATGTCCACGTCAGTAATCCCTGTCTAGACTTGTGTCATAGTTGTGATGTACTCATGTCCACGTTAGTAATCCCTGTCTAGACTTGTGTCATAGTTGTGATGTACTCATGTCCACGTCAGTGATCCCTGTCTAGACTTGTGTCATAGTTGTGATGTACTCATGTCCACGTCAGTAATCCCTGTCTAGACTTGTGTCATAGTTGTGATGTACTCATGTCCACGTTAGTAATCCCTGTCTAGACTTGTGTCATAGTTGTGATGTACTCATGTCCACGTCAGTAATCCCTGTCTAGACTTGTGCCATGGTTGTGATGTACTCATGTCCACGTTAGTAATCCCTGTCTAGACTTGTGTCATAGTTGTAATGTACTCATGTCCACGTCAGTAATCCCTGTCTAGACTTGTGTCATAGTTGTGATGTACTCATGTCCACGTCAGTAATCCCTGTCTAGACTTGTGTCATAGTTGTGATGTACTCATGTCCACGTCAGTAATCCCTGTCTAGACTTGTGTCATAGTTGTGATGTACTCATGTCCACGTTAGTAATCCCTGTCTAGACTTGTGTCATAGTTGTGATGTACTCATGTCCACGTCAGTAATCCCTGTCTAGACTTGTGTCATAGTTGTGATGTACTCATGTCCACGTCAGTAATCCCTGTCTAGACTTGTGCCATGGTTGTGATGTACTCATGTCCACGTCAGTAATCCCTGTCTAGACTTGTGTCATAGTTGTGATGTACTCATGTCAACGTTAGTAATAATCCCTGTCTAGACTTGTGTCATAGTTGTTATGTGCTCTTGTCCACGTTAGCAATCCCTGTCTAGACTTGTGTCATAGTTGTGATGTGCTCTTGTCCACGTTAGTAATCCCTGTCTAGTCTTGTGTCATAGTTGTGATGTACTCATGTCCACGTTAGTAATCCCTGTCTAGACTTGTGTCATAGTTGTGATGTACTCATGTCAACGTTAGTAATCCCTGTCTAGACTTGTGTCATAGTTGTGATGTACTCATGTCCACGTTAGTAATCCCTGTCTAGACTTGTGTCATAGTTGTGATGTACTCATGTCAACGTTAGTAATCCCTGTCTAGACTTGTGTCATAGTTGTGATGTACTCATGTCCACGTTAGTAATCCCTGTCTAGACTTGTGTCATAGTTGTGATGTACTCATGTTCGTGTAATAATCCCTGTCTAGACTTGTGTCATAGTTGTGATGTACTCATGTCCGTGTAATAATCCCTGTCTAGATTTGTGTCATAGTTGTGATGTACTCATGTCCACGTTAGTAATCCCTGTCTAGACTTGTGTCATAGTTGTGATGTACTCATGTCCGTGTAATAATCCCTGTCTAGACTTGTATTATAGTTGTGATGTACTCATTTCCACGTCAGTAATCCCTGTCTAGACTTGACGTCAGTAATCCCTGTCTAGACTTGTGTCATGGTTGTGATGTACTCATGTCCACGTTAGTAATCCCTGTCTAGACTTGACGTCAGTAATCCCTGTCTAGACTTGTGTCATGGTTGTGATGTACTCATGTCCACGTTAGTAATCCCTGTCTAGACTTGACGTCAGTAATCCCTGTCTAGACTTGTGTCATGGTTGTGATGTACTCATGTCCACGTCAGTAATCCCTGTCTAGACTTGACGTCAGTAATCCCTGTCTAGACTTGTGTCATAGTTGTGATGTACTCATGTCCACGTTAGTAATCCCTGTCTAGACTTGTGTCATAGTTGTGATGTACTCATGTCCACGTCAGTGATCCCTGTCTAGACTTGTGTCATAGTTGTGATGTACTCATGTCCACGTCAGTAATCCCTGTCTAGACTTGTGTCATAGTTGTGATGTACTCATGTCCACGTTAGTAATCCCTGTCTAGACTTGTGTCATAGTTGTGATGTACTCATGTCCACGTCAGTAATCCCTGTCTAGACTTGTGCCATGGTTGTGATGTACTCATGTCCACGTCAGTAATCCCTGTCTAGACTTGTGTCATAGTTGTGATGTACTCATGTCAACGTTAGTAATCCCTGTCTAGACTTGTGTCATAGTTGTGATGTGCTCTTGTCCACGTTAGCAATCCCTGTCTAGACTTGTGTCATAGTTGTGATGTGCTCTTGTCCACGTTAGTAATCCCTGTCTAGTCTTGTGTCATAGTTGTGATGTACTCATGTCCACGTTAGTAATCCCTGTCTAGACTTGTGTCATAGTTGTGATGTACTCATGTCAACGTTAGTAATCCCTGTCTAGACTTGTGTCATAGTTGTGATGTGCTCTTGTCCACGTTAGTAATCCCTGTCTAGACTTGTGTCATAGTTGTGATGTACTCATGTCCGTGTAATAATCCCTGTCTAGACTTGTGTCATAGTTGTGATGTACTCATGTCCGTGTAATAATCCCTGTCTAGATTTGTGTCATGGTTGTGATGTACTCATGTCCACGTTAGTAATCCCTGTCTAGACTTGTGTCATAGTTGTGATGTACTCATGTCCGTGTAATAATCCCTGTCTAGACTTGTGTCATAGTTGTGATGTACTCATGTCCACGTTAGTAATCCCTGTCTCGATTTGTGTCATAGTTGTGATGTACTCATGTCCACGTTAGTAATCCCTGTCTAGACTTGTGTCATAGTTGTGATGTACTCATGTCCACGTTAGTAATCCCTGTCTAGACTTGTGTCATAGTTGTGATGTACTCATGTCCACGTTAGTAATCCCTGTCTCGATTTGTGTCATAGTTGTGATGTACTCATGTCCACGTTAGTAATCCCTGTCTAGACTTGTGTCATAGTTGTGATGTACTCATTTCCACGTCAGTAATCCCTGTCTAGACTTGACGTCAGTAATCCCTGTCTAGACTTGTGTCATGGTTGTGATGTACTCATGTCCACGTTAGTAATCCCTGTCTAGACTTGACGTCAGTAATCCCTGTCTAGACTTGTGTCATGGTTGTGATGTACTCATGTCCACGTTAGTAATCCCTGTCTAGACTTGACGTCAGTAATCCCTGTCTAGACTTGTGTCATGGTTGTGATGTACTCATGTCCACGTCAGTAATCCCTGTCTAGACTTGACGTCAGTAATCCCTGTCTAGACTTGTGTCATGGTTGTGATGTACTCATGTCCACGTCAGTAATCCCTGTCTAGACTTGTGTCATAGTTGTGATGTACTCATGTCCACGTTAGTAATCCCTGTCTAGACTTGTGTCATAGTTGTGATGTACTCATGTCCACGTTAGTAATCCCTGTCTAGACTTGTGTCATAGTTGTGATGTACTCATGTCCACGTCAGTAATCCCTGTCTAGACTTGTGTCATAGTTGTAATGTACTCATGTCCACGTCAGTAATCCCTGTCTAGACTTGTGCCATGGTTGTGATGTACTCATGTCCACGTTAGTAATCCCTGTCTAGACTTGTGTCATAGTTGTGATGTACTCATGTCCACGTCAGTAATCCCTGTCTAGACTTGTGTCATGGTTGTGATGTACTCATGTCCACGTTAGTAATCCCTGTCTAGACTTGACGTCAGTAATCCCTGTCTAGACTTGTGTCATGGTTGTGATGTACTCATGTCCACGTCAGTAATCCCTGTCTAGACTTGACGTCAGTAATCCCTGTCTAGACTTGTGTCATGGTTGTGATGTACTCATGTCCACGTCAGTAATCCCTGTCTAGACTTGTGTCATAGTTGTGATGTACTCATGTCCACGTTAGTAATCCCTGTCTAGTCTTGTGTCATAGTTGTGATGTGCTCATGTCCACGTTAGTAATCCCTGTCTAGACTTGTGTCATGGTTGTGATGTACTCATGTCCACGTTAGTAATCCCTGTCTAGACTTGACGTCAGTAATCCCTGTCTAGTCTTGTGTCATGGTTGTGATGTACTCATGTCCACGTCAGTAATCCCTGTCTAGACTTGACGTCAGTAATCCCTGTCTAGACTTGTGTCATGGTTGTTATGTACTCATGTCCACGTCAGTAATCCCTGTCTAGACTTGTGTCATAGTTGTGATGTACTCATGTCCACGTTAGTAATCCCTGTCTAGACTTGTGTCATAGTTGTGATGTACTCATGTCCACGTTAGTAATCCCTGTCTAGACTTGTGTCATAGTTGTGATGTACTCATGTCAACGTTAGTAATCCCTGTCTAGACTTGTGTCATAGTTGTTACTGTTTTTAGTGCTAAAACCGTTGTGTTCCCATTTTTAGTGATAAAGTGTGAAAGTAACGTGGCAACTTCCAGTGCTGATGTATGAAAGTGCTATCGCTTCCAGTGTTGATTCATGAAAGTGCTATCGCTTCAAGTGTTGATGTACCAAAAGTGCTATCGCTTCCAGTGCTGATGTATGAAAGTGCTATCGCTTCAATTGCTGATGTATGAAAGTGCTATCGCTTCCAGTTCTGATGTATGCTGATATGGGAATGTGCCCTCATTTCCAGCACTAATGTACGAAACTATTGTGTTCTCACTCATGTTTTAACCGTTTGTTTCTCTCACTCATGTTTTTAACCGTTTGTTTCTCTCACTCAACAGCTAACAGGAAACGAGGTCATGGTCGGTGACGGTGTCATGAAGCAGGACTTCAAGGACATGTCACTGAAGCAAGGTCAGAAGGTCACTATTGTCCGTCTGGACCACAACCCGCCCAGCATGTGGTTGGTCAAGACAGATACCGGAAGTAAGTGCTCTCACGCGCCACTTCAAGTGCACGCGCATATTAGTTCACATATGGTGTTACAGACGGACAGTATTTGAAATATTGGAGGTTTTCGTTACTGAATTGCTGATATAAGAATCGGCATCAAAGCACAGCGGGCACAGACATAGCACAGCGGGCACAGACATAGCACAGCGGGCACAGACATAGCACAGCGGGCACAGACATAGCACAGCGGGCACAGACATAGCACAGCGGGTGCAGACATAGCACAGCGGGTGCAGACATAGCACAGCGGGCACAGACATAGCACCACGGGCACAGACGTAGCACAGCGGGTGCAGACATAGCACCACTGGCACAGACATAGCACCACGGGCACAGGCATAGCACAGCGGGCACAAACATAGCATAGCGGGAACAGACATAGCACAGCGGGCACAGACATAGCACAGCGGGCACAGACATAGCACAGCGGGTACAGACATAGCACAGCGGGTACAGACATAGCACAGCGGGTACAGACATAGCACAGCGGGCACAGACATAGCACAGCGGGTACAGACATAGCCCAGCAAGCCCAGAAATAGCACAGCGGGTACAGACATAGCACAGCGGGTACAGACATAGCACAGCGGGCCCAGAAATAGCACAGCGGGTAGACATAGCACAGCGGGTACAGATATAGCACAGCGGGCCCAGAAATAGCACAGCGGGCCCAGAAATAGCACAGCGGGCACAGACATAGCACCAGGGGCACAGACATAGCACAACTGGCACAGACATAGCACAGTGGGTACAGATGGCACAGCGGGCACAGACATAGCACAGCGGGCACAGACATAGCACAGCGGGTGCAGACATAGCACAGCGGGTGCAGACATAGCACAGCGGTTGCAGACATAGCACAGCGGGTGCAGACATAGCACAGCGGACACAGACATAGCACAGCGGACACAGACATAGCACAGCGGACACAGACATAGCACAGCGGGCGCATACATAGCACAGCGGACACAGACATAGAACAGTGGGAACAGACATAGCTATTCAGACTTCCACAGCAAATGTGTAGATGCTGTCACCATAGTCCACTGATTATACACACGTCGTTGTGTTCCTGTGGTGTGTCTCTCTATAGCGGATCCACTCCTAATTCATTGTTTAATATATTTCTTACAAATGTGATTTCATCTAACCTCGTGTCTTCTGTCAACATTCGTTCATGACTGGTCTCCCTTGTCCAACAGGAGTGTTTCCGCAGCTGTCGTTTTTGTAGCCAGAAATCTGTTCTTTCATTTCCTCGCCCTCCTGCATATTCAGGACAGTTTATCAACGTGATTCCCTGCACTGTTGAAGCTTCATATCCATTCAAGCCATATTTGTCCATTTGAAACCTTTCGTTCTTTGTCTGCGCCCTTTCCTATTCCACATTGTAGTATCATAATGTTTGCATGTGTGACTCGTTGTGTGTGTTTGTGTGTGTTGTTTTTGAATGCTTGTGTGTGTGTATGTGTGTGTGTGTGAAGGGATTGACTTGACATCGTCATTACACTGCTGGAAGAAGTGAAAAAATACATTCACCGAACACAAACCATTACTTGAGACCTCAACATGGAAGGGGGTGGGGGGGGTGTCAGGAACAACTAAAGCAGGCACAGATACAATGTTTCGGCCAGAGTCTTTATCAACGAGTAACACAACAAGAACGTTAATCCTGCACAGTAATCTCCAACTGGTTAGGAAAAAAAAGTGGAGATGGGGATAACTATGGTAATAACTATGGTAATAACTATGGTAATAACTATGGTAATAACTATGGTAATAACTATGGTAATAACTATGGTAATAACTATGGTAATAACTATGGTAATAACTATGGTAATAACTATGGTAATAACTATGGTAATAACTATGGTAATAACTATGGTAATAACTATGGTAATAACTATGGTAATAACTATGGTAATAACTATGGTAATAACTATGGTAATAACTATGGTAATAACTATGGTAATAACTATGGTAATAACTATGGTAATAACTATGGTAATAACTATGGTAATAACTATGGTAATAACTATGGTAATAACTATGGTAATAACTATGGTAATAACTATGGTAATAACTATGGTAATAAACTATGGTAATAACTATGGTAATAACTATGGTAATAACTATGGTAATAACTATGGTAATAACTATGGTAATAACTATGGTAATAACTATGGTAATAACTATGGTAATAACTATGGTAATAACTATGGTAATAACTATGGTAATAACTATGGTAACTGTCTCTTGTCAACAAAAGAAGAGAATAATCAAATAAGTCAGAAAACCATTAAAGCCAGCACAAGACGATTACCCTTTTATGAACAGACCAAAGCAAGTTATTATTCTACGCCTTAGAACAGGACATCGTAGACTTCGCAGACACGTGTACACGAAATTTAAAATCAGCGAATCAGCCAAGTGCATCCATGGATTGGCACCTGAGACAACAGATCATGTCCTCCAAGACTGTCCCAAAATACAACACATCATGGCAAAACTGTTGGCCAAGACAAATACCAGTGCAAGTCAAACGTTACAAGTCGCTGAGTGAATTAACAAAAGACAGTGAAGTTCATACTAGAGACAACATTGCACACACAAAAATTATTTAAAGCGAACGAAAGAAGAAGAAGAAGAAACAGAAAAACTATCGCTATTAAAGAGTCCAAAAAAAATAATTAAAGGACCCTTTTCCACGCATATAAGCGTACAGGGCATATAGGGCTAAACCTACATTTTATAGACCAATCGGCACAATATGGGTGATGTGGTCAGCATCACGCCGGTCGCCTTAGCTTCCCTGGACTGCCCCCGGTACCCACTCAACGCTGGGTCGACCTGGGAGTCAAGGTCATTTTTTGAGAGAAAAAAAAGTCCAGCTCCGGCAGGGAACGAACCCACGACCTTCCGATCCGCTGCTAGCGTCTAGCCGCTCCGCCACGGCGAATCCAACTATCATTATCAACATTTGATATTTAATATATTCACATACAGCTTTGTGCTGAAGACATATTCCGTGAGAAGCTAAAACACAATCTATGTATGTTATATTTATGTAATCAACAGTGGGTTACGTCAGCAGCAGTTGCATTGAAGTCGATCCTCTTGTGGTCCGTCAGGTCGGTGGATTGTTTTTAATTTGTTAGTTTCTATGGGTCGTAGCCTTTTTCTTTTCTCCTTTGTCTCTCTTTCTCTCTCCTTTTCTCTCTCTCTCTCTCTCTCTCTCTCTCTCTCTCTCTCTCTCTCTCTCTCTTTTCTCTCTCTCTCTCTCTCTGTGAAGAGGGGATGCCTTTGTTGGAGGTGGGTGGAGGTAAATTCACTGCCCTTTAAAAGCATGTCGTAAAAGGCTAATAATTATGGATGTTTCTGTCAAAGTCGGACTGCGTCTACAAGATAGGCGAGCAAACCACAGTCTGACTGCAATCAATAATGTAAAACGGTTGTACACGCAGCACTGAAATCCTGTAACAAGACTTTAGTCCAAAAGTGATTAGATATTGCTTGTCGTATTCTTCAAATTTCTTGTTCTTGTCTGTACCCCATGAAGTGTCCCCAGTCGTCAGTGCAATCAGAGATCTCTGGAATGTCCCCAGTCGTCAGTGCAATCAGAGATCTCTGGAATGTCCCCAGTCATCAGGGCAATAAGAGATCTCTGGAATGTTCCCAGTCATCAGGGCAATAAGAGATCTCTGGAATGTCCCCAGTCGTCAGTGCAATCAGAGACCTCTGGAATGTCCCCAGTCATCAGGGCAATAAGAGATCTCTGGAATGTCCCCAGTCATCAGGGCAATAAGAGATCTCTGGAATGTTCCCAGTCATTAGGGCAATAAGAGATCTCTGGAATGTCCCCAGTCATTAGGGCAATAAGAGATCTCTGGAATGTTCCCAGTCGTCAGTGCAATAAGAGATCTCTGGAATGTCCCCAGTCATTAGGGCAATAAGAGATCTCTGGAATGTCCCCAGTCATCAGGGCAATAAGAGATCTCTGGAATGTTCCCAGTCATTAGGGCAATCAGAGATCTCTGGAATGTCCCCAGTCATTAGGGCAATAAGAGACCTCTGGAATGTTCCCAGTCGTCAGGGCAATAAGAGATCTCTGGAATGTCCCCAGTCATTAGGGCAATAAGAGATCTCTGGAATGTCCCCAGTCGTCAGTGCAATAAGAGATCTCTGGAATGTCCCCAGTCATTAGGGCAATAAGAGATCTCTGGAATGTTCCCAGTCATCAGGGCAATAAGAGATCTCTGGAATGTTCCCAGTCGTCAGGGCAATAAGAGACCTCTGGAATGTTCCCAATCATCAGGGCAATAAGAGACCTCTGGAATGTCCCCAGTCGTCAGGGCAATTAAGAGATCTCTGGAATGTTCCCAGTCATCAGGGCAATAAGAGATCTCTGGAATGTTCCCAGTCATTAGGGCAATAAGAGACCTCTGGAATGTTCCCAGTCGTCAGGGCAATAAGAGACCTCTGGAATGTCCCCAGTCGTCAGTGCAATAAGAGATCTCTGGAATGTTCCCAGTCGTCAGTGCAATCAGAGATCTCTGGAATGTTCCCAGTCATCAGGGCAATAAGAGATCTCTGGAATGTCCCCAGTCATTAGGGCAATAAGAGACCTCTGGAATGTCCCCAGTCATCAGGGCAATAAGAGATCTCTGGAATGTCCCCAGTCATCAGGGCAATAAGAGATCTCTGGAATGTTCCCAATCATCAGGGCAGTAAGAGACCTCTGGAATGTTCCCAGTCATCAGGGCAATAAGAGATCTCTGCAACAGGCTTCTTTGATCGCTTTGCGTACAGTAGGTTCAGTGTTTATGATATTTCTGCGGTCCATCCTTCTGCGTGGTCACCCTCTGGATCTGTGACCGTCGTATTGCTGGACTGCTTGTGTTGTATGAAATAGACGCCATCAGGGGACATTGCCAAAGGCATCTACCAACTGCAGTCAATTCCTATTGTGGGCAGGAGATGATAACTCGATTACATAATGTTGTGCTGAGTGTCCTGGCTCAGTGGACTTGTGTTATAAAGGCATTGACTCCATGTCTGGGAGGTTGTTGTGTGCCCTGCTCAATGGAAGTGTGTTATAAAGAAATGACCTAATGACTGGGAGGTTGTTGTGTGCCCTGCTCAATGGAAGTGTGTTATAGAGGAATTACTCCATGTCTGGAAGGTTGTTGTGTGCCCTGCTCAATGGAAGTGTGTTATAAAGGAATGACTTCATGGCTGGGAGGTTGTTGTGTGCCCTGCTCAGTGGAAGTGTGTTATAAAGGCATGACTCCATGTCTGGAAGGTTGTTGTGTGCCCTGCTCAATGGAAATGTGTTATAGAGGAATGACTTCATGACTGGGAGGTTGTTGTGTGCCCTGCTCAATGGAAGTGTGTTATAAAGGAATGACTCCATGTCTGGGAGGTTGTTGTGTGCCCTGTTCAGTGGAAGTGTGTTATAAAGGAATGACTCCATGTCTGGGAGGTTGTTGTGTGCCCTGCTCAGTGGAAGTGTGTTATAAAGGAATGACTTCATGACTGGGAGGTTGTTGTGTGCCTTGCTCAGTGGAAGTGTTTTATAAAGGAATGACTTCATGACTGGGAGGTTGTTGTGTGCCCTGCTCAGTGAAGTGTGTTATAAAGGAATGACTTCATGACTGAGAGGTTGTTGTGTGCCCTGCTCAATGGCTTGTGTTATAAAGGCATGGCTTTATGACTGAAAGGTGAGTGAGTGAGTTTCACAATTGCATGATCCTCCATTACTAGTGTTCGATTACTGCGGTTACCAAATTATTTAAAATATTTCCCTGGTTTTCCGCAAGCAGTACGAGAGTTTGACAGCGGAAGAGATCTGGATCTCGCTACTTATTTTAAAAAAAAACAACAACAACAACAGTGGAGGCTCTGTAACAAATCTTCGGGGTTAAGATGGCAGAATGTACGCGTGTCTGACTGAATGCTAGAGCCAACAATGTTCTGTAGCCATGCAAGTTCTCTCTAGCAAACGAAGCCTAAATTGCTCTTGTTTGTAAGTTGATATCAGAATTGTATCTTTGATTGTTTTCTCTCTTCAGGCCATGAACACAGTCAGGAGGTCTGTAGACGAGTAAGTATTTGGTTGACTGTTCTCTGAAAGACAAAATACTGAAAAACTGCTGTAGGCATGGCACATGATAATGCTATATTCAAACATCGTAATTAGATCTGCAAGTAGCAGGAAGAGCAGAGTTATTGGCCCTGTCTGCTCTCTGAGCTGTAAGTGCTGCCTGCAAGAATATCACATCCTGGCATCTCTGGGTTGTTAGTGCTGCCTGCAAGAATATCACATCCTGGCATCTCTGGGTTGTTAGTGCTGCCTGCAAGAATATCACATCCTGGCATCTCTGGGTTGTTAGTGCTGCCTGCAAGAATATCACATCCTGGCATCTCTGAGCTGTAGTTACTGTTTACTTTCTTCTGTGCATTGTCTTTCACAACTCGGAACCAAGCCTGCTATATATAAAGAACAACTGGGAACCAAGCTTGCTATATATAAAGAACGACTGGGAACGAAGCCTGCTATATATAAAGAACGACTGGGAACCAAGCCTGCTATAAAGAACGACTGGGAACCAAGCCTGCTATAAAGAACGACTGGGAACCAAGCCTGCTATATATAAAGAACGACTGGGAACCAAGCCTCCTATAAAGAACGACTGGGAACCAAGCCTGCTATAAAGAACGACTGGGAACCAAGCCTGCTATAAAGAACGACTGGGAACCAAGCCTGCTATAAAGAACGACTGGGAACCAAGCCTGCTATAAAGAACGACTGGGAACCAAGCCTGCTATAAAGAAGGACTGGGAACCAAACCTGCTATATATAAAGAACGACTGGGAACCAAGCCTGCTATAAAGAACGACTGGGAACCAAGCCTGCTATAAAGAACGACTGGGAACCAAGCCTGCTATAAAGAACGACTGGGAACCAAACCTGCTATAAAGAACGACTCGTGAAAGTAAATATGAAACATGCTTGTCACGGACGAACAGGCCACACAGTAACAAAGGTGAAGAATGTGGCGCCACACAGTAACAAAGGTGAAGATATGAGGCGCCACACAGTAACAAAGGTGAAGAATGTGGCGCCACACAGTAACAAAGGTGAAGAATGTGGCGCCACACAGTAACAAAGGTGAAGAATGGGGCGCCACACAGTAACAAAGGTGAAGAATGTGGCGCCACACAGTAACAAAGGTGACCAATGTGGCGCCACACAGTAACAAAGGTGCAAGAATGGGGCGCCACACAGTAACAAAGGTGAAGAATGTGGAACCGCCACACAGTAACAAAGGTGAAGAATGTGGCGCCAAACAGTAACAAAGGTGATGAATGTGGCGCCACACAGTAACAAAGGTGAAGAATGTGGCGCCGCACAGTAACAAAGGTGAAGAATGTGGCGCCACACAGTAACAAAGGTGAAGAATATGGAGCCACACAGTAACAAAGGTGAAGAATGTGGCGCCACACAGTAACAAAGGTGAAGAATGTGGCGCCACACAGTAACAAAGGTGAAGAATGGGGCGCCACACAGTAACAAAGGTGAAAAATGCTATATATAAGACGCCACTCGGAACCAAGGGCTGCCACACAGTAACCAAGTAGGCCTGGTGAAGAACTGGGGCGCCACACAGTAACAAAAGATGAAGAATGGGGCAAGCCACACAGTAACAAAAGTTAAAGAATGTGCGCCACACAGTAACAAAGGTGAAGAATGGGGCGCCACACAGTAACAAAGGGTGAAGAATGTGGCGCCACACAGTATCCACAAGGTGAGAATGGGGCTGCCACACAGTAACAAAAGTGAATAATGTGGCGCCACACAGTAACAAAGGTGAAGAATGTGGCGCCACTGGGAACCCAGTAACAAAGGTGAAGAATGTGGCGCCACACAGTAACAAAGGTGAAGAATGGGGCGCCACACAGTAACAAAGGTGAAGAATGTGGCGCCACACAGTAACAAAGGTGAAGAATGTGGCGCCACACAGTAACAAAGGTGAAGAATGTGGCGCCACACAGTAACAAAGGTGAAGAATGTGGCGCCACACAGCGTAACAAAGGTGAAGAATGTGGCGCCACACAGTAACAAAGGTGA